TGTAACAGGGAAATAAGAACACACATACCATTGTTCTTATTGCATAAAGAAGTCTTTTAATTTATCTGATTTTATGGTGGTGTTTTTCTTTTTACAGTTGACCTTTAGTTAGATTGATAACATTGCCTTGCTTACAGTTTGGCAACATATTGCGATATAATGAATTACCATGAATCCTTGATATGTATCGTGGCGCCAGACTCTTTTTAATACATCACCCTGGTTTGGATTATTGCATGTTGTAGTGTCTATATGTATTATAATCTTATACTGTATGTACCTCCCACAAATTATAGCTATACCAGGACTGAACCAGCACACTCAATCTAGAACAATAACTTCTTGTACATATAATAACCAAGTACAAAACCTGTTAGAATTCACAGAATCTTCTCTATTTGAGTAAATTGACGTCTTCTCACCCTGTCAAACAAACCCAGAGCCAGAAAGCTGCAGTTTGAATTATATTTGAATCCATTCAAAATAAATAACCTTATTTTGGGGAAATTGTACCAAAACAAGGACACGCATGGAAGTCAATGCAAAGTGCTTCCCATCTGCCAGCGCTTCAAACCAAGCTTTGGGGGATGGATGACGGGTGGCTTGGGTAGGGGAGGGGGGAGGGAGGTTTTCAACTGTCTATGCAGGGTGCAGTTTGAGCAAATAAGTATTTTTGGTGCCTGTTCGTGTTCCTCCAAACGTGCGGTCACAGCTCTGAGAAACCTTGGGGTTTTTCTCGAGAAACACCACCCAACCCTCACCACAGCTGAAGGAAACACTGAGGCATCAGAACATCATCCTGCTGAGGGGAATACAGCAGCGATGTGTCAGGGACCAGAAACCTCAAGAAGAAAATAGAAAATGCCTTCCTCTTTCTTATTTTATATCTTCTATCAAGTCTTCTGTTACTACAAAACATATATTTCCTAATCAGGATTTTGGGAACATTTAACATCTTGTGCACAGAATGGTGGACTGACCAAAAAGTCTGATGTTGCCTAAGTAAAAGTAAATATGTATTTTAAGCACAATATACCGAAAGTACTCATGTTGTCGGTCAAATAAAGACATTTCTAGAAGACATAACAAGTTAGATTAAGATGTCAGAAAAAAAATTATATTACAAATATTTAAATGAACATAAAATGTAAGAATTTGCAATAAAATAACATAATAAAATCATATTTAAAAAACCATTAGACGTCAGAGGAGGACTTTTCATAGCCTCCTGTCAGTCACTGACACAATCAACACATCTGCTGTCAGTCAATCAAACTCCACCGAGACAGGGGGAGTGTGTGTGTGTGTGTGTGTGTGTGTGTGTGTGTGTGTGTTTTTGGGGGGGTGGAATGCAAATGTGTGTGAGAGCTCACAGGAACAGGAGCTGCTGTATTTGAACATGATCAATTATTCTGCTCTGGCCTCCTTCTGTCAGCAGTGGTTTCTCTTCGCCTTTCACCCAGATTACAGGCGCCACCTGCTGGAGAGGGGGGGGTTTACTGCATGCTGGAGGGGGGGTGAGGGGATCAGTGACAGAACAGATGGATGAGCTGCACAGCTGCATTCAAAAGGATCCACAAAGGATTTATTTGTCATATGCACAATAGTCATAGGAAAATCTTAAGTCTAAAGCTCCTCCGAGGATGCAGCATACAATATACTTAAGATAAAAATACATTAGATAATGCAAAAAGAAGCAAAGCAGGTCCTGTTTGTGCATGAATGTCTTTGAACTTTAACTATACAACAGCAGAGTGAAGGCTGAATTTCTCCTAGGAGACTAAAAAAAGCATGCCTTGCGATACGATACAATATGGTACGAAAACGATACGATACAATATGGTACGAAAACGATACGGTACAATCTGATACAGTACGGTACAATACAATATACGAGACAATAAACGGTAACAATACAATACACCTATATACTATACGAAAAGATAGGTTATGATTCGATAAGGTACGATATAAAACAAGATGATATAATAGGATACAATATGATACGAAAACAATACGAAACGGTATGATACATTACGATACGATACGGTACGTTACGATGCGATATGATACGGTACTAAACTGTATGATACTGTACAATATGGTACGGTGCGATCGATCAGATACGATAAAATGAAACACGAAACAACGAGATACAATAGGATAGGACGCGACGCTTTACGTTTACGTTTAGCATCAGCAGCTCCATTTGTACATCAACAAGTATAAATATTAAGACAAGAAACAAAGGAACAGATGTGATTCAGTACAAGACAAAATATATGATCTACATAAAAAGCCCTAACCTTGTGATAGATCTTGTTATGTACATGTGAATAAAGAAAAAGCTGTAAACGCAGGAACACAGGAGGCCTACTTTTCAGAACAAATGGCCCCCCCTCTGTGTCGCCTCACACACACCTGCAGAGCTCACACACCTGCACAAAACAACCTCCACAAGCACAGGGGAAATGAACTATGGCTGCTCCACACACACAAAAACCCACACAAAACTGTTTGCACATGTCAGTGATCATACACACACACACACACACACACACACACGCGCACACACACACACACACACACACACACACCAAGCTTCCCTGCCAGTGAGTGTTTTGCTGGCGTGGCAATAAAAGGATATCAGAGGGAAGCAGTCTCAGCAGAATCACAGGGGGGGCTGAGGTGAGATGGAATACATTTCCCCAACACACAACACACTTGACCCTTGTGTGTGTGTGTGTGTGTGTGTGTGTGTGTGTGTGTGTGTGTGTGTGTGTGTGTGTGTGTGCGTGTGTGTGTGCGTGTGTGTGTGTGTGTGTGTGTGTGCCCTGACTTAATGCTTGAATACATGAATTCATCAGAGGTGGAAAAAGTTCTCAGATTTAGCAATACTGCAGTGTACACATACTCTGTTTCAAGTAAAGATCCTGTATTGAATATGGTTCTCAAATAGAATAGAAGCGCATTAAAGTATTATTAAAGTAAAAAATAGTAGTAAAGTGTTTTATAATTTATTCATTAAATATTATTATTGTATTCCTTTAGTTAACTTCTTGTTATCTTTATTAAAGGGGACCTATCATGCAAAATGCACTTTTGTACGTCTTTTATACATGAATATGTGTCCCCAGTGTTCCAGGGAACTCACCAAGTGTCAGAAAACACAACCCTCTCTATTTTCCTCCATACCCAAATCTCTAAAAAAGGGGCTGCAACGGATCTGATAAAAACTGATCCAGATTTGAACACTGTCCTGACGTCAGGACAGTGGCGCTACGGCTATTGGGCCAACTCCACCAATCAGGAGGAGACAGCCACGGCCATTGCCGTTCGAAAGCGCTGGAGACGCTGTAGTACATATGCCAGGCCTCTAGATGGTGCTGTTCTCACTGAATCAGCCCTTGCAAATACAGAGCTAAAAAAAGTGCACATTGAGCAAAATGAGGCATGGCTAAAATGCATGATCTGTTTGGTATTTTGAAAAAAAAAAAGTATAAATATGCCTTATATAGGTATGGCCCTACACTATATTATTCAAATATAGCATGATAGGTCCACTTTAAGTTAACTGTTGTTATTTCTTGGATTATTTGATTGTTTATATTGTTGATCTTTTTTTTTTTTTTTACAGTTATTATTATTTATTTATTTTGTTAATTATTATTATTATTTATTTATATTTGATCTGCTATTAATATTTATTTATTCAGTAAATCATTTTTTGTATGTACTTTTAAATGAAGCCTTATCAATGCATACTGTGGTGTCACACACAGAAACAGGATATTATAATGCATGGAGGGTGGAGCAGCTCCATCGATCATATTCTCTGCCATGTGCAAATAGTTGTAGATTTAGGCAGCAGAGGATACTTCCCCAATATTTAAAACAAGCTTTCTTTAAAGGCAGCTAGTTAATACTGACAGCTGATTTATTACTTTTAAATGTTCAGTTGGGGTAGGTAATTCACTTCAGAAACACCTTTTGTTATATTCCATGGAATGCTCTTAACATCCCGATAGCAATGAATACATTAAATGCTTTGACAATAAATACATAAAACATGTCATCTGTGGAAGCCGTGGCGCTGTAAAAAGCACGACCAATCATCTGAGCCGGCCCGGCTAAAATAACTGGATGGCCTACCTGCCTGTCAGCCTTCCATCTGTGCACAAACTTATCTCGTGCCCTCATTGGTCATGTGCGCGTTCGTGTGTGTTGGAGGAGGGGCTCTGTAAGGAAGTCTGAAGGAAGAGGCAGATTTTTTCCAGTTGTGTATTTTCAAATTCTAGCACACTCCAGCTGGTTTCTCCATTCTTACCTACCCTACCTTTAATTGTATAATGTGCTACTTTTATTTGTGTCTTTATCTGCACTTGTCTACATTTCCTCACTGTGGGATGTATAAAGGATTTCTGATTTTAATTATTTTTTCCATATCTCTGGCACTAGTTCCAAATTCACTGCCATGCTGTCCGTTTAAAAGCCTGATAATAGTATAACATTTAAATTAATTGGATCATCAAAGGAGGCAAATTCACACCTACAGAAGAGGACCAGGGCCACAAATGAAAAACATATTGAGATCTTGTCAAAAGCTTTATCTCGTACCTCAAAAAACAATTTCACTTTTGCCTTTTGTCACACTTCATTTCTGGATAGAAATAGAAATGGACCTTTGTCGCCATCTGCTGACTAAACCGTGCAACTGCTGTGAATTCAAAATCAGATCATCAATACTGATGCATTTTCTTTTAAGTGTCTATATACTTTTTAAATGTACTTTTACCTTTTCAATAAGAGTTGGAATTTACATTCACCTTCATGTAAAGTCAGTCAATGAAGACAGAGTCAGAGGTCATGTCGGAACCCAAGTGAACTTTATTGGGCGTGCGTGCGTGCGTGCGTGCGTGCGTGCGTGCGTGCGTGCGTGCGTGTGTGTGTGTGTGTGTGTGTGTGTGTTGTTGTTGTGAAAAGAGCTGAAGTTGGGCAATGGAGGGTCAGTCTTCACCACAGATGTTTCAGTGGCTTAGTACTCCTCCCCTTCTTCTCCTTCGTCCCCCACGCTGTCGGTGCCCACCTCCTCATAATCCTTCTCCAGGGCGGCCATATCCTCTCTGGCCTCAGAGAACTCTCCCTCCTCCATCCCCTCTCCAATGTACCAGTGGACGAAGGCCCTCTTGGCGTACATCAGGTCGAACTTGTGGTCCAGGCGAGCCCAGGCCTCTGCGATGGCGGTGGTGTTGCTCAGCATGCACACGGCCCTCTGCACCTTGGCCAGGTCTCCTCCAGGAACCACGGTGGGGGGCTGGTAGTTGATGCCCACCTTGAAGCCAGTGGGACACCAGTCCACAAACTGGATGGTGCGCTTGGTTTTGATGGTGGCGATGGCAGAGTTGACATCTTTGGGCACCACATCACCACGGTACAGGAGGCAGCAGGCCATGTACTTGCCGTGGCGGGGGTCGCATTTCACCAACTGGTTGGCCGGCTCGAAACAGGCGTTGGTGATGTCAGCGACCGACAGCTGCTCGTGGTAGGCCTTCTCTGCAGAGATAACTGGGGCGTAGGTGGCCAGAGGGAAGTGGATACGAGGGTAGGGCACCAAGTTGGTCTGGAACTCAGCCAGATCCACATTCAAGGCACCATCGAAGCGCAGGGAGGCGGTGATGGAGGAGACGATCTGTCCAATCAGCCTGTTGAGGTTGGTGTAGGTGGGGCGCTCGATGTCCAGGTTCCTGCGGCAGATGTCGTAGATGGCCTCATTGTCCACCATAAAGGCACAGTTGGAGTGCTCCAGGGTGGTGTGGGTGGTCAGGATGGAGTTGTAGGGCTCCACCACAGCGGTGGACACCTGGGGGGCGGGGTAAACCGCAAACTCAAGCTTGGACTTCTTGCTGTAGTCAACAGAGAGACGCTCCATCAGCAGGGAGGTGAAGCCAGAGCCGGTTCCTCCTCCAAAGGAGTGGAAGATCAGGAAACCCTGGAGCCCTGTGCACTGGTCAGCCTGGAAATAAGGGATAATGTTTTTAAATGTTTTGCCATCAATCCTTTGAAGTTTAATTAATTAGCTGACTATAATTAATTATCAGTGTTGGGAAGTTTACTTTTTTTAAATGTAGGTTACAGATGACTAATTACCCTGTTAAAAATGTAATACGTAATGTAACTGACTATGTAACTATTTGTATTGATAATCTAATGTTAATTATGGTTCTTTTATGTTTTTTGTGAGTCACTTTGGATAAAAGCCTCTGCTAAATAACATAACCATAACATACGGTTTCATTAAACAAATAAACAAAAAGGCTAACAGTTGGTTTTGCAGCGAGTCATCACAGGCTAACAGATGACATTTAGCACGTGTTACTGTAATTAGTGATTAAATCAACAATTAATGTAGGACACCTAGTTGGGCTTGCCAAAATCACGCTACAGTTTCATTAAACAAATAATCAAATATGCTAATGAAGCTAATGCTATTAGCATTAGCTTTTGCCGAAAGCTATAGCTAACAAATAATTGTTTTTAGTGCCTTTAATACTGTTAGAAGCTATCATAAGCTAACAGATGTTTGTTTGTATTGCCTTAAGACTATCATAGTTAATGTTAGCTAATCACACTTCATTTCAAGACACCGGAATTGTTATTAATGTTAAACAAATAAAACTTTAAAAGCACTTCACACTACTCACACTCTCTGCGTTGTCGTTCATATTCATGTCTCCTGCTCACTAGGTGGCGATGTTGCAAAACAACTAGGGTCCTGAGAGTGCATGCGGTCCTGAGAGTGCATGCGGTCCTAATGCACCCTCCTCCGAGGCTGCAGCTTCATACTACTCGAGCAAACGCTGGGCAGAGGTGCATTCAGGCATAGCTCGAAATATTCCGATCCTACACGTTAGCTCTGTCATCTAAAATAACTGTTTTTAATTTTCGTTCTATTGAACGTCCGGAAACGTTTGAATTAAGATCAGCAATTATTGTTTCATCGTCTAAAAAAGTGTATTATATATTCACCCCATGCAAACGTTTTAGGCTTCTATTTATGTCGGCCCTGAATTGGAAAAGGCATGAAAATATCACACACACAGAGTTGAATTATTCTTTTTCTAATCTCAACAACACACAAGCTGAACATATCCCCATAATTTATAGAATATCAAAAGCTAAAACTACTACTACAAGTTTGTTTTCATTGTATTTTTAACCTGAAAGTTACTAGAATACACACAAACAGTCTTATTTGTGATCTCTTAAGTTCGGAAGGCGAATGTAGGAGAAGCACTTGAAGGCAGCATTACTCAAATAAGGAAGCAGGCTCTCTCTCTCTCTCTTTCTCTCATTCAATTCAATAGCTTTATTCTAATAATAATAATTCATTACATTTATTAGAGCGCTCTCCCAAATGCTCAAAGCACTTCACATTATATATTACACTTTATTAGCATTACCATAGTTACATACAGTATTGCTAAAGCTCTGTGCAGTTGCAACATCTATACACAAATACATACATAAAAACAAACTGCTACATTTTTAACATAAGCAAGAACATTTAATTTTAATTTTTACAAGGAACACACATTCATTCAATTCATATAATACATTAATACAAAAATAAAATGTAAAAAAGATGTGAGACCTGAGGCCTGTACTACGAAGCTGGATTTTCGCTTAGCCGGCTAACTTCAGGGAAATCTCGGGCTTTCCGGTCCTACGACGCTGGTTCTCTTTTTAGCAGGCTAGATTTCCATGGTAACTTATGCTGAGCGGCAAACCTGCTCCGGAGCAGGTTAGGTGGCAGGCTAAGAGATCAACTCAGTGAAAGCGATGCCTGCTGACCAATCAGAGCTCCGTGTGCGGAGTTTAAAGCGATCAATTCATATTACAGGATAGAGGAAATACAGAAAAACTGCCGTTGCAGGAAAGACGGCCGGCCAAAATCAACTGACTGTGTGAACGTGAAAATTAATAGAATATCCCCTCCCATCTTCAGAGCAATCTGACTATTATAATATTAGCGTTAAGAAAGCTTACTTAAATATCTGCCACGACATAAGTAACCGGATCAGAGTAACATTAAGTACAGTCCGCGGCACTGTGAGTGCAGGCGTCGATGTGTCCCATTATCATTCATATCATATCACATCATAATGTATCATATATTTCCTTATTTGAGTCAGCTACTTGAGCCGTATCTGGCCGTGCAACACTCACAGTGTCACATACTGTATGCAGAAGTATTATTTTAAGCAACACATTAAATTGACAAAACACTCGAGTCAAATTCTCCTAATTAAAGTCAGATCCACTCGTGTCTTGGACGGGGCAGTGATTTCATAAACCTGTTAATGTACGCATTCAAACACTTTTTCTTTTACCAGCTGTATTCACCTTGCAGGTGCAGCTATGTGGCTTTTATCCTGGATAAAGTGTTTAAGTCATGGATGTTTAAAGTTTAACTTCTTCATATTTGACTAATATTAAAGTTCACTTTTCATTCAGGAAGTATGACGCTGCGCTGTCAGTACGCTTGTCCGTGTTTGAGATTGGTCGAATGCTCCAAATACCACCCCTTTCATGTGAACGCGCACCTAACTAGATAGGACACGGCTGGCTTGAGCGATCCACTTGATAACCAGCGTCGTAGTACAGTTTAGCCAGAGCGCGTATGTTTTGGATTGGGCCAACCGGCTAACTCAAACATATCCAGGTTAGGTTGAACCAGTTTCGTAGTACAGGCCTCTGGTGTAGCAGGTCAGTCCGATTCCCTCATACTGTGGCAGGCAGAGACAAACGAATGCAGCTTTCTTTGAGTAATATCTTTAGTTTTTCATTTTCTTTTTTAAATATTTGAGGATGCTTAGGTTTTGGGAAGAATTATTTCTGTACAGGTTCAAATGTTTGGCATTGTGTGAGGAAGTGCTGCACTGTTTCCACAGCAGTTCCTTCACACTGTTGGCATGATGATCGCTCCTCTTCTGACAGCCATGTTTTTTTGTACCTGCCTGTTTCTATGGCCAGGTTGTGAGCATTCAGTCAGTACATTGTCAAAATGTTTCTGTGTTTAAACTCTGTTGAAGTCTTTCTTTTGTCGGGCTTAACAGGATTAAATCATCTGCATAAAGCAGGAATTTGATCCCTGTTTTGTGAAGTGTGAGACCAGAGGCCTGTACTACGAAGCCGGTTCAACATAACCTGGATATGTTTGAGTTACCCGGTTTACCTGATCCAAAACAAACACGCTCTCGCTAAACGGTCCTACAGCGCTGGTTATCAACTCGTTAACTCAAAAGGGGCGGGGTTAGCAACATTTGACCAATCACAAACATGGAGAAGCATACTGACAGCGCAGCGTCATACTTCCTGAATGAAAAGTAAACTATAATATTAGACAAATATGAAGAAGTTAAACTTTAAACATCCATGACTTAAACACTTTATCCAGGATAAAAGCCACATAGTTGCACCTGCAAGTATACAGAACAGCTGGTAAAAAAAAAAGTGTTTGAATGCGTACCAGTGGTGGTTCTAGACCAATTTGACTGGGGGGGCCAGGCTGGGGCCAGTTACTTTCTGAGGGGGCCACAATAAATGCAGGACGAAAAAGACAAAGACAGTATGAAGTAATTGCGCATAAGAAAACAATGCAATACAGTTATTGCTATTTGTTTCATTACACATTATTATATCAGCCTGTCCTCCTACAAAAAACGACCATATAGGTCGATTATTCAGGAGCTTATTACGACCTAGAGTCACGTTTTAAAGTGTAGCACCTCTAGTGGTCGTGTAAGAAACAAAATGCTCCCGTTGATTGCAAACGCTCCTGAGATTCTTTTATTCACAAATAACCCTCTCTGGAAAATCCTAAATTGTGCAATAGTTTGGCCATTAAAATGCTTTTTGATTAGATTTCTAGCGAGAAGTGTATAGTGTACTTTTATAATCTACGTCCAGTGGATGTGTAGGATCTATAGTTTGATAGATATTACGAAGATGATTTGAGGTCTCGCCAGGAGAACGTGTACTACGTCTTTACGCAGCTTCCATGTAAAGTTAGCGTCAACCCTCACGGGGTGAAAACAGTATTTCCAGTCTCGAAGTTTTCATAATAAAACCGGATGTATTCCCCTCACTGTCAAATGATTACACAGTGATATCTGCATTACTCATCCACTAAAAAACATCAGTTTATCCTTGTTAATTGCACAATATTGATTGTTTTAAATTGTGTACAATGCTTTTGTGTTTTTAACCATCGATTTGGAGAAACAAATAGTTTTTTCTGAGTTTAGACACTACAGAGTTTCCGAAGACACTACACTACCCAGAATCCCCAGCTATCGTTTGGGACTACAACATCCGCCTTGCTTTACAAACCCCGTGATTAGTCCTCAAGCTCTATGATTGGATGTTGGAGTGGCAGTGCGACAAAGTTACGCCGAGCGTCAAACAGCTCTTTGAAATGGAATGGAACCACGACAGACTATCCAAAACTGGACTTGGACGGGTCCAGTCCAGCCCTCCCCCCCCCCCCAGAACTACACATGCTGGCTATTGTGTGTTTCGCAACATGTTCTATGGCACGTCTCTACTGGGAATTGTAGTTTTAAAAGACGTTTTCGTATTTCCCACAATTAGAAGTTGCCAGTATCAAACTGTTTACACCCCTGGAGGTTTAGGGGATACGAAACACATTGGTGTTATCAAATTTAAAACATATAATTAATAAATGGGTGAAAATTGCTTGTGTCCATAATGGGCAGCATTAATATACCCACATGACAGCTAAGGTCAGAAGAGCTTTATTTAACAGCTGGTCTTATGTCTGTGACCCCTCCTGTTGTTAATTGATAAGCCTGAAACATGCACTTGTCAAGGTTCAGAGGCACATTTTGCAAATATGGCAGTAGCCATCGATCATCTTAAGATAAGATAAGATAAGATAAGATATACTTTATTGATCCCAAGTTGGGAAATGTTTTTGTTACAGCAGC